TGGTTAGTATTAGAAGTTTGATTTCTGTTTTCATTTTTTTTTTGTCTGGATTTGTTGTCCTCCCTCTAGAGATATCACTAGTCCAAATTTGTTTTGTTCTTCTTGTCCCGGAGCCCAGTTATACAAAAAAGCAGTGATACGCTTATCCTTAAGCATGTGCTTACATATACCCTTCTACAAGGATCTAAGCGCGTCCTGGTGCAGTTCGCTGAATTAGGGGCCAGAAGCATGTAGTAATTTGATTATAAAACGTACTTGTCTCTCCCCGGAGGCCACGGGCATGCTTTCGGCATGGAGCATAACATTTCCAGCGTTTGCTGCAAACGCAGCCACCACAAAACAAATCTGCAAATAGCTCTGCAACTCGTGCCACATGTGTGCGCGTCCCCCGGCCCCGGGAGCAGGGCGACCCCGGCGCAGCCTCCGAGGGCTCTCCGCGTTGGTGCCTCGCTGTCTCGCAATCTGGGCACCATAAGGAGCCGCCGAGATGCATTGCTGAGATAATTAAACGTATGTTTTTGAGCAGTAATTGCGAGGTCATGCGCTGCGATAGAAATATTTGATTTCCTATAAAGAATCAAGCAGTGCCTTGGTGTTCCTAGCAAAAGCAGTCTCCAAATTTTTACCTTGCTGCTTTTATCTGGGATGCAGCTGGAGAATATTGCGCCTGGCGTGGAAGTTAGTTGCTAGTTGCTACTGGCACTTATTTCTTCTCCTTTTTATTTTTATTTTTCTCCAAACTGTACAGAGCTTTTCTTAGGCTGTCTCAAATTAACCAAGTGCACTTAAAAGGAACTCAGGGTGTAATCTTTCTGTCTTTGCTGATAGAAGGACTCCCACAGGCTTCTGCAGAAGTTGGTCTGGGTGTAGAGATGAAAAAGACGTTATTAATGCCGTGAAAAAACTTGGTGCATACAAAAAGATTGAAGAACTGTCTTTGTAAAGGATCTGCCCAATGCATTCCTGACTAAATTGGCCTGAACATAATTGATATTACTAGTCAACAGCATCCAAAACCAATTCTGTGTCAATACTTTTGTATTCTTTTCTGTCTCAAAACAACTGCACTATAACTTCCCAATCTATTTACATATCAGGAAAAAAAGAGATGGAGGATAAAGCTTTATTTATGACTTTTTTGTTTATCAGATATATTTTTGAGAGAATTGTACATCATTTTCTGAAAAATCTTGTCTTAGACAATGGTCTTTGCTTTGTGACTCTATTTTGTTGTTGTTAAAATATCAAATCGGCAGAATCAGCACTCCTTCCAACAAAAGTTTGTTGGAAACAAAAGAAATTATAAGGACTTGCTTTTTTACTAAAGCCAAATTTTATCAAATTGGAAATGGTTTATGATAATGCGAAAACTGCATAATGCAAAGTTGCACAGTGTGTAAAGAACAGATTATTAAGTTTCTTCTTTCCTTCCTAAAGTATCTTGCTTGGACAGAAGAGCAAATTCTACCAAGTGGAACTACTTTCACCTTTGCATGATATGGATGTAATTTAAAGTAGCCCTGGGTGGTGTTCTCGTGCTATATTTATTTAAGGTATTTATACAGGAATAAAAGCTGCTGAGATGAAACATCACATGTGYAGCGTAGCCTGTCTGCAGTCCAAATACTATTGACTGCGATTGCAGAAACCTCTGATGTGAGGTCACCTTTGAGCCATCGATTGTTGATCGTCTTCCTCCCCGCCGCCAATGATGACTGTGTTAATTATGCTGCTGAACTTAGCAATTTCTTACAGTTTTTTTGCCATTTTACTGCCATCCATTTTCCTAAAATGATTGAAATGTAATAGCCATAAAAAAAAGAAGCTTGAAATATGAGCTAGAGGAGTTTCAAAGAAAAATGTTTTGTAGATGCTGAGCAACAACATTAAATAAAATTAGTGTCGTTACATTTCCCTTGGCAAGACAGCCAAATTTGAGAACATGGGCAGAAAAAAAACAGGCAGACGTGTAATGGGCTGCTAGGAAAAGATTCCTGGAATYCTGCAGAAAAAGAAGTGCTGGTTTGCAGCGCTCTGTTAAATATTGTATTTCAGCAGTTTGTTTCAAATACTCTAAGGCTTCCTGACACTAATGTGACTTTATTAATATGTACTTACACATACCTGCATGCCTGCTCCATTTACCCTCTTTTTCTTGACACRGTACATGCATGTAGATGTACACATGCATGAAATGGGTAGCAGCATCACAAGCTGCAACCAAAAGATTGGTGTTTTTGAGCTCCTGTCTACAATACCAGCTGAAAGGCTGTGTAGTTTTACTTGCAGCAGAGCAAATCTTAGAGCAGTGGGGTAGGACTGGGGTCCTTAGGAGCAGTCCTTTTTCTAATGTTAGCTGAAGTTCCACTGGTGGTAGTTTAAAATATGTATTAAAGATGCATCCTTTGCTTTTTAGACTCCCAAATCTTACATCCTTTTGGGTATTTGAAATGTGGATTGTAGAGGTTGAGCAAAAGAGTGTCAGCTTGTGGAACAGTTTTCCAAAGAAGCCTCATGAAGAAGGTATTAAGGCTTGACTTAAACCCGCTGCCCAAATATCTGGATGCATGTGCCCTGTTGTTAAAACCTTCTCGCCAAATGGAATTGCAATACACTACCTCAGGGCTATGAAATATCTTTTTGCTCCCACATTTCACAGCCCACACTCAGCAATATTTATATTCTAATGAAACATAAATGCTCTGTAAGAAGAAGGCATCTGTTCTTCTGATGTCAGTGCATGCATTTGCAAAATTGTAATGAAAAGCATTTGTCACTGGGATGCAGTAGTGCCCATTGCTGCAATTTTCTTGTTTCTGAGGGTCAGAATCCTCTTTGAAAAGACTTTTTTCTCATGTACCAGGGGCCTGCAGATAGCACAGTGCATAAAATGTCAGGAAGAGAATATGAACAGTCACAATTTTAAATGCTAAGCCGCGCGAGAGAGGAAATCGGATAATTTATATTGAAGCATTTCCTTTTGATCTGTGTATCCCTAGTTCTGTTTAGAGTTAATTTACCTAAATATGCATGGGGATACAGAAGAAAGATGTAATAGGAAGTAMATGAAGTACTGAGATGAAAACAGTGTGGAGACCTCTTAAATGCAAAAGCTTGTCATGCCAAGTTCTATTATTGAAAGATTTCTTTCCTATCTCATTGCTGTATTAATCACAGCAATTTGTGTTAAATAGAAGCACTGACTAAATGGATACTAAACAAAAGCTTCCAGGCATTTCTGTTTGCTTTGTGAAAAATAATTGTGGTACTAGTTCAATGAATGGTACTAGTTCAGCAGTGAGGCACCAGGTGCCCATGTTCCTTGTGAGGGCCTGGATGTTCCACAAGTGCTTCAAAAATTTCTCTTTTCTAGGTTTAGGGATTGAATTGGTAGATTTACTGTTGTTATTCTGATATTAATTTTTTACTTTTAAACATCCATGAATTTAAATATGTGCCTATTTGGTAAGCACTGACATATGATTAAGTAATGTAGCCTACCAATARTAAAACCTAAATATTCCAATCAAGATAATTGTCCTGTTGCAGCATATGCTGCATGCATATATTGACAGAYACTTAAATTCCAATTTAAGGTGCAATGAGCAGCTGTAATTATGGACAAGAGGAAAGGAAAAGGTTGATCAACAGTTTTCAGGAATGTTTATCCACAAAACCCCAAGTGGATTATGTGCACGGGCAGGTAGTACAGTGGGAAACTGGCCCGGGTGTGTGTCCTGTGCCCCAACCTACCGTAGCCTGTGGGGGCTCGTAGCCTCGATGGGCTGCTATGTCCATGAAAGTGCAGCGCTTGCAAACCAGTTTGCAGAGGCTTGCCATGAGCATGACCTGCTTCGTCTGAGTTATTAGCAATTTACAGGTAATAAATAAAAAAAAAAAATCCCACATTCTTTTAATACTTACCTTTTACATACCTTTTAATACTTTTTTCCTAACATCAGACCCTATAAACATCAGAACTGTGCGAGCCTTGAGCGGATGTTTGAGCCAAGCAGGTGCCAAGATGCCCARGCTAAGCGGGCAGGACCAAATTCATCCTTGAAGTGTGGGAACATTGGAGGAGGAGGAGAGGCTTCACGTTTTCCAGACACAAAAGTAGGAGCACAGCGACGCTCCAGGAGACAGCRAAGGAAAGGTTTTATTCACCCTTAACTTGCCATCCTTATTGCTACCATATGTTTATGTAAGTATAAACCAAGGAGAGGGGCTGTGCCATTGCGTTTGAATCCTGAATCATCAAGAGCTGGACAACCATGGTTCATTCCCCATTCTCCATCTCAGCTTTCATTCCCCATTCTCCATCTCAGCTTGCCAACAGCACCACCCTTATCCCAATAGCTCCCAGCCCAAACCCAGCCTGGAAGCAAGAGCTTTGGCTTTGTTGTTTCCTCTTTGCTCAGCTCATTTCAGCAAAGACTCTTCCACAAATAAAACGTGACCCATTAGACAGGAGCAACCTTGACAAAGTGTCTTATTTGAAGATATTGAGACATTCATGAGACCAAATTCTGTATTTCCTTAGCTATTGCTTTTATTGAATTACATACAATGTAAAATTGATGCTGATAGTCTCTTAATGTAGGAATATTCCACACGTATTTTTGACACTAGATGTAGTCCTACATTTATTTGATTCGTAATATATTGTCATTTACAAAACAAGAAGAAAAGGTATTAGTCTTTTTAAATGTGTTTTTATGGAAAGACCAGGCATGATTTCCAAAAGAGCCTGCTGCTGTGCTAACTGCATACGTCCAGGCACCTTGCACGTGCCAGAAAGAGAGCGTCTGTAAATGTTATTATGGGAAGGTAGATGTACCATGAAGTTTCAGAGGCCTGGAGACGCATGTGCAAACGGCCTCTGATAATACAATTGACAAATTAACAGTTTTCGGTATGAGGCTTTTTTAGGTTTGCYTTTTTTTCTTTTCTTTCAGCTGAATTCTGGCTACATGGATTCAGGGCATGCAGGAAAAGCAGTTAAAGAAACGATAATTCCAGTGGCTGCAATAACAGCTCAGAGCTGCGGTTTGAAAGGCCACCTCCTCCTTAAATGGCCTGAAATGTGAGATCTTTCATAAAAATAGTGGGGAAGAAGCAACTCTGCTAATCCGTCCCTTTGATGACTAGCTCTGCCATTCCTTAGGGAAATCTGTCCRCTGGGGCTGGTTTCAGGGTTGGTGCTCTGAGCCATCTGGAACGCTGACCTCTTTTTCATCTCCTTTTCCACACGGATCATAAACCAGGTATTTGGAGCTCTGTGTCTGTCCTTCCTGCAGGTACTTGTGCACCTTTGGTGTGGAGTTTTGTGTAGGTTTTATGAGAGTTGCTCAAAAGTTACTATTTGCTTATTCCTTCAAATTATACATATTCTAATCAGAAATCATTTCTATTTTTGATGGAGAATTTATTAAATAAAAATGAGGATGGCAATATTGTTATATGGAAAGATCASATGTGCCATGTAAGCTGTAGAGTTGGGCACCTGCAGCCATCAAATATTTAAGATAACATCTTTGGATAAAACGTAGCACTGTTTTTAATTTAACCTTTTTCTTCCTACAGTACAAAAAAAAGTCTCTCCTCATAGATGTGTGGTTTCTAAAGGGGAAAAAGGATTTAAAATTTTATGTGACAATCAACTTCTCCCATTTGTGCTTTTTAAAAAAGCCTATTTAAAAATAAGCAGTTACACTTTTACTCAAATTTCAATAAATTCAAATTCAGATAAATCTCACCTTTAAGATTTTTTTCTAAACTACTCTTTATATCTCGTGCATTTTTAAGCCAACRATTTTGTACATAGACAAACTACTAAAAAAGTGCCATTATAGTGTTATACATAGTACTCTATGGAAACATAAATTCAGAATTAGCATCATGCTAAAGAGGGGCTGAGTGCATTTTAATAAAAGTCATCAATGACTTTAGTGTCAAGTAGTCCAGGCAGAAAAAAAATGCTCACTCTTTACACGGTGTCATGAGCCTTCCTATCCAAAGTAACAAATAGACGTGTTTGCTCAGGTTGTTGGCTTCCACTTTTGCTCAGAGCACTGCAAGGTGCATCAGACTGGGAAAAAAATGGTCCCATGGCCTCATTTAATATTGTCCAGCTCCTAATTGCAGCTAATTAGGAAGAGGTAAAACGTTCAGCACAATTTCCTCTACTGTAGCAATAGCAACAAAATAGTGGCCCGCATTTTTTTATATTCAAAACCAGAAGATTTCCTGGAGTACTTAATATCAGCAGCAGTAAAAAAGGCCTATTGCTCGAGTCATAAATGGTCAGAAAATCTCAAATTCTTCTCTAAGACTTTACAAGTTAGCGGTAAGTGTGTTTTCTGTTGTCGGACACTTATTGTTTGAGTCAGACTTTGTCAGTCTACAAAGCTTTACTTGAGCTTGGATGGCATGTGCATACATCCGATGTGCTATGTACAAATGGAAGTGATACAGGATCCTTTAATTACTGCATATCTTTTTAACCCAGAAATATTTTGTGCATTAGATTTCTGACCTGAATTCTTCAGAAATCAATTAGTGACTCGCTTTATCTGCATAAAGCATATAAAATATCATGTTATATTCATGATATTTAATGTGCAGATGTTTTCCTTTTTGCACATCTGCAGGCAATAAATCTATTTTCTCTGTAGGAATGGTGTTTTATTATATGATTTAATATGAAGTCTTGAATAAATAATTTAAATTGATTTTTTTCTTTGAGAGCAAACCAAAATCATTTGCAATAGCTAAACATACCCCATAGATTCTTTTTTTACACATAAAAACTTTAGCCAGTTGCTTTAAAAAAGCAACAGCTTTCCTAATACTTGGATTTAGTTTGAACATAAATTTATATATGTAAAAATGGCAAACAACTTGTGTAGACTTTTTTTTTTTTTAAATATTCTTCTGGTTTTTACTGTGTGGCAGACCAGGTTTGCARCGAGGCAGCTGCTGTTGGTGCAAGGTGTTAAAATGAGGGTGTACAGAGCACAAACGTCTGCATCCTTCCATCCACCTGTCCTATCAGCAGGCAAATACAAAGCAAAACCTCCTATATTATAAGACCTGTGCACATTAGGGATGCTCCACATGAAAGCATGACAGGCAAAAAGCAAATATTCAGAGGGCTTGACGTTCATTTCTCCCGCTGGACCATCCAAATTTGATGGTTATGGGGCAATTGTGCAAAATTTGTTYGTTTTCTGTCTGTCTGTGAGCATTCATTGATGCTTATAAATACATGAATATATATATACATGTATGTATACAAATGTATATTTGGAGCTTTTTGCTGGGAGTTTAATTCTGCTGGTATCAACATATTGGGGTCAGGTGGTTTTCAAGTATGTTATACATTTTGTCTGTGTTCTGGTGCTGCAACGTTGAGCATATGTGATATATGGCAAGTATATATATTTGAACATTATTTCCATTTTTTTAAACAATGCCCTAAATCCTTGTAAACTGATCTCTGGTAATGTATTCAGTAGTAATCCTAGGCATCAAGAGATAAAAAAAAAAAAAAAAAAAAAAAATGCTGATTTAAAGCAGAAACATGTGCTGCTTTGCAAGCACAGTGTGTTAAAGCGTTACCGACATGGCTCTTGTGGCTTGTGTGCTGTGTGTGTCCCTCGTGCTCGTGCCTATCCTCTGCCAGGCCTGGAAAGGGCTGTGGCCACCAATGCCCTTCCCAGTCTGAGCCAATTTAAACTGCAAGTGATATTTTTGTTTGGGACTGAGTGATTTCACACTGCGGTCCGTGCAGTAAGTCCTGGGGCCAGGGCAATGAGACCAGTAATAGCAGTTTCACTTGAGGCATTAAAGGCTGTTTTTCCTCATTCTAGCACCACTCTGAGCCTGGAGAAGAGAACCCAACTGGGCAATCGAGACCAAGACCCATGGGACCAAGAGGATCAGGAGCACGGGACCCTGCACCTTGCTGCCCTGGCAGCTCGTTGCATTTACTAATATTGCGGGCAGGAGAAGCTCGGGCTGTTTGGAGAGATCCAACAGCGTGGCAGGGAAGGAGCAGGGCAGTCGGCGATGCCGGTTTCCCTCACTGCCTCTGCCAGCTGCTTGCTGTGTGACCTTGGGTGAAAGACTTACTCTCTCAGTGTCTCAGTTTACGCATTAGTGAAATGAGAGTAATGATACTTACCTGTCTCACTGGGGCTTTTTGAGGCTTAATTAATTGATGTTTGTAAATCACTTTGCGGTCCTCTAGCGAAAGTTGTTAGGGAACTGCCAAGTATTTATCCTCTCCGTTTTTTTTCTCCTGCTAGTCTGCACTCATCCATCTAATATCTAAAAGCATGCTCACAGCTAGCAACAGATACTAGCCAAATTGCTCTTAACGGGAGATGTATGGAAGCTTTCACAAAATTACTTTCGCAAATTACCAGGCTTTTTGAAGTACCACATCCAGGGATGCAATGAAAAGCAATGCTGACAAGTGTCTGTGCTCCTCACCGACCAGCGTATTTCAACAAATCCTAGTGTTTGGGGCTGCTTTGAATTTCAGATATGTCTGTCTTTTAATTGATTTGCCTTTGGAAAATTTGCCAGGACTCCTAGGAATTTTTTCCCATGCTTTCCATTTGGAGCAGATTGAAAGTGGCTGGACTGGGTGTCTATTAGATTGGGGCGGGAGATGAGCACATCAATGTGCTATTTTTTATTTTGGAGTTTAACCYTTAATGTTTTATGGGACATTGTGGAAGTGCGAGGTGAATCCCTAGAGGCTCTGCAGCTTCATGAGCATCATCTTCAGTGGAAGGGCCTGAGGTACCCAGCACGAGGAGCTGGATCCTGGTGCCTGCAGGGCTGCTCACTGCCACATGCTGCTGATGGGAGGTGAAACAGCTTGAGACACTGCAGTAGGAAAACCATAAAAATGGAAGAAATCCACCCAAAACTCTGGCCAAGACTCTTTACGGGCCTGCCGAGGCTCGGCTGCTTCCTTTCCCAGCGCTTCAGCTCATCGCCCCTGCTGGCATCTTCCTCAGGAGCTGCAGCTGGAGGAAGCAAGCACGTGCTGAGGGCTTCATTTCTCGGTGGAATTAAACATAGACATTTGGATGCTTCCTGTTAGAAATAAATCGGGGATAATAAGAACAGCACCACTTTTCCAAAGCAAGTGGCACTGCTGTGCTTCCCTGCTTCCAGGTGATGTCCTGGTGGTCCTGAACCCCTCCACAGCCCACCTGGCACCCTGGCAAAACCTAAAAATGCCCCCATGCTCCYACAGAAACGTTGGAAATGCTTGACGCTCCCTTTTCCACCAAGGGCCATTTTTCCATGAAAATCACTCGGCTGGGAAATGCCCAGCCAGCTGTAGTGCTGGGGCTGCTCACTCCCCCATTTACTTTCTTGTATTTCTGGAGCATCTCTGCACCTAATCAGCTGAAAATCGGCCTGAACTTTTAGCAGTCTTGAAGAAGGTCGTTGCAGCCAATTTGTAGGAAGTGACACAGAGGAGCCTAATTGGCCTTTTTTTTTCTGTATTCACTGTTTAGCACTAGATAAAGTGGCATTTCCCATGTTTGCATTATCCCAGCTCCCTTCTTGCARATCCCTTGCGGAAACCTGGTCATCACTGACCTCCCAGGGGTGTTAATGCAGGCATAGCAAGAATGCTGTTACCTGTTGCGTACTAATACTCCTGTCACTGGTATTTTTGCCAAAAGATAGTGCGGCTTGGAAGAGTTCCCAGGAAAGTCGTGGGTACAAGATTTTCATTTTTTTATTCTACACAAACTGCCATTAGTCTTAGAGATGAATGAATCAAACTGCGARTAGCAATCTGGAAACCGGGGGATTTGATTTTAGCTTTGATTCATAAACATATAAGCTTTTAGAAATGTGTGCTTTATTTTTATAAAAGCGTGCTATGGTAGATGCAGTTTATTGGCTTTATGCGTACATACAATGGACACACATGTGCATACCATACACAAATATTTCCCCAAGGACATCAAAAAAGGGCACCCCAATGTATTTTTAGCAGCACTATATAGCAGTATTTCACATCAGGCTTGATGGTCTCTCTGTGTCTTTCTACCTTTTCTTAGGATTTCTGTTTTTCTGTGCATGGCTACTTTTGCATTCTCGTGCAAAGTCACATGCAAGGACCCGAGCTCATGAACATGAGCACAAGGATTTTTTTCTATAGAAATTTATGAAGCAAACAGAGCGTGTGTGGGGGTGAGTGTGTGTGTGAGCTTCCCCAAAGAGCACTGCTTAAATGACTGTTTACAAAGCTGAGTAGCTATAGGGAATTCATTTGGAAGTAGGCTTAAAATACAATTAACTTGCTGTGCAAAGCCCGTCCTAACAGCTTTGATTCATCCTTATTGACAGAGACTGGAGAGCAGGGAGGGCAGCAAAAATATAAAACAACTCTGCAAAGCAACACTGAGTGTTTATTTAAAAGAAGACATTTAGCTCTAGTTGCAGAATCAGTTGCAGAATATCCCATTGAAGTATTTTGGCTGTAATTAGTGGGGACCTAAGTGAGATAAGAGTGGCCATTTAATTATCAGATAACTTTACATAAACTTGAAAGGATTCTAACTCGATGAGAACTGTGATAATGTTTTCTATTCTGAGCAAATATCAACATCTAAATATTTAATACAGTCACAGGAAATTTAAATGAAGTAAATATTCAGAGAAAAATGAGGCAAAGAGCTTCCCACAGCAATGTGGTGGAGATAGGGTTTCCTTTTAATTTTTCATGAATATTTGTTCTTCTGAGGGTTACATAAGCGCTATCATGCAATTTGAAAGCCTCCTTTTCCCCTTCCTCGGTGGTATCATAACTAAAGGCACATTTGCTCGTGTGTTAATTCAGAAATGGGCCTAACTGATAGGTCTGCTTAACAAAACTGTTGTGCAACTTTATCATGAGAACTCATTTGTGAGCTGCGAATCTTCTGTTCATTGTGCTCCTGAAATCCGGCCGTCCTTTATATGAGAATGCAGAGAAAAAAGACAAATGGTTTATCCTCTAAGCCACCGAGCATCCTGTTCTTGATATTTCAGTAACATATGCTAACATATGCTTTCCTCAAGAAACTTCAAAAACATGCTTTTAGCAGCAATGAAAATGGTACCATACATCGAATTCAACTTTAAACCTCATAGTTTACCTCTAATACCATTACCTCATGTATAGAAGAAAATGTAAATCTAAAATATGCTGGTGATTATAACCTTTCTTCCTGACAGACACTGCAATATAAATGCACATAAATTGAATTTCTTCTTTAAAGAAATTTGAATACCTTTGGAGCATTTTAGCAAATCATCTCCAGCCCTTATGGCACAACTTCAATGGACTGTGGAAAAGTGCTCTCCCTATGGCATGACTCCTGCAATAGAAGGACATAGCAAGGCAGAGACATGCCAAGAAAAATAGAATGTACTCCATTGATATTCAAAATTTATTTTATTAAACTTGCACAAAAGACTGAAAAACTGGAAGCTGGTTTTATTAGAAAAGGCATTCAAATATTAACTCTGTGAGTGCTGCTTGCGTTACTTGTCTGGAGAAATAATAATCAAAGATACACAGTCCGAATGCTCTGACTTTGCTCCCTAGGACAGCTGCTCGATTCCTTGTGTTAACCATTAAATCAGAAACTGTGAGAATGGCTAAGTGGTTTGTAGSACGTCCTCCTGCATCAGATAAGAAAGCTTCAGAGGGATCTCCCCAGAGGGGGAAACGAAATATATTTGAGCAATCCTGTGCTAATTAGTAAATACGCCAACAGCAGCCATATTTTAGGATTGCATTTCTAAGGGAACATATGGAAATGCTCCTGAATATCATCAGCTGCCAGTGTTTATCCTAGAATAGGGATGGGAAATAAAGATGCCAAAGAAAGTATTTTTCATAGGGGCAAATGCTAATATTTCCATAACATGTTGGAAGGATAAACTAACTGAAGTTTCATAAGTGTTTGGTTGAGTGGAGAACGGCCAAGTTTTCTCTGAATTGGTTGGATCACTTTTAACGTTAATCAAAACAAGACAGGTGTTTACTTTAGCAAGGTGAGGTGCTTCAGTGCATTAAAGATTTTTACCTCGCTGTRCGTATTGCAATGTATATAATTTATGGTAATCTCGGGGATTGAAAGAACGGCTCATTGAAGTAAACTTGCCACACGATATATTTAAGATGATCTACTGCCAGGTAAATTCATGGGTTAAGAAAGTTGCTTGAGCAGTGAAATATTGCCTTTAGCCTTTGGCTGCACATATGGTACAGACTTTCCAACTTCAGAACTTAAGAAATTGGTAAACGCTGTAACCTGTCAATAAATATGATATGCGTGTGGATGTGTCAACATTGCCCCAACCTGCCATTACAGTTAATGGTCTGTATGTATTTGCATTCCTACTATAACAACCTATTTTCAGAGCTTTATAATTTATGCAGAAACATTTCCTAATGACAGAAATCTGGTATGTGGCATCAGCCAAAGAACCTTTCCTTCCAAACCAAACCTATTTTGATGTCGAGTTTTACAAGCAGAGAAATATTATTTATATTCTTAAGAAATAACTTTTCATAGAAAAGTTATGGACAAAGACTTCATTTGTTGTTTTTGTTTTTCCTTAGCGACAATGTGTGGTCACCCAAGAGTTACAGGAAGCAGAACTGCAGCGTGGACTAAATTTTCATTACATGTCGGGTATGTTACTGCCCTCTCTACTTCTCCATTCTAGTTTGAGGAGGGAATGGGTGAAAGTTTTAAGCTCCTTAATGGCTTAGGGCCAGATGAGAGTCACTAAATGGCTTTTAAAATCTGGCTGCTAGACCCGTTCTCAATGAAGCAACGTAGGCGCTTAAGAGTCCGAGTCTCACTGAGAGTCTCTGCGATTTAGATTCCCATCTGCCAGCATTAAAGCAGGGACAGATTTCAGCAGTCGCTTCATTGTTTTTTGAAATGCACCTGATTTTCCTGCCTTTTCAGGTGCCCAACTGCATTTGGAAACCTGACCCTGAGGCACATCTCAATGTCCTGTGCTCCAAAGGTGGGCAGATGCCATGCTGAGGCGGCTGACACAGTACATTTGTCTACACCAGTAATTGAAAGTAAGACTTGCTTATTTGATGTGGCCATTTAAATYTGAATTATTTCCCTATTCTATCCAATTAATTCCCTATCCACACCGCATGCATGACCTGGGTGCCAGGAGTCATTGGAGAGACATATTGGTGATAATTCAGCCTCTAGAGATCACCTGATGAATTTGCTACTTTTATTTTCTTAACAGATATTAAAAAGGCAGAGAATGCAGTGCAATACAGTGTTGGCAAGTGCCATAACCTTATCAMGGCCCATTTAAGTGAATTAAAGGACTGTATATGCTTTAATTAATAGTTAGTAAATGTGTAGTCCATGCAGTGGTAGGGAAAACTTTATAACCTTGAAGTTGATAGCTTCAAAAAGCGATTTAAACAGTAGTGATCTCTAAACCCATTAAATCCTGTGATTTTAAKCCAGTCTTCTGATTTTGGGGTGCAGCTCATGGCGTGTCAAATGTTAATGTCAAGAATGATGAAGTCATTTGAACA